TGTACAAATCCTGGATTTTGTTCGTGTAATCGTTTACCAAGCATCTGTAAACGATTACAAGTGTATTTTTTGGTGCAGAAGTTTCAAGACTTCATCTAAGTTGTTCATCTCATAAACATTGTTCATTTCCTCAATCATGGGGTGCCCAAACAGGACTTTCCAGCCTATACTCACACTCAAACACTAAAATCAAGTGAAAACCAGTTGATTTATGCCAAAAAATTAAAAACTTTGACTATGGTCACCTAGGTTACCACAACTGACTCCTCTAGTACAAGTTTCTGTACAAATCCTGGATTTTGTTCGTGTAATCGTTTACCAAGCATCTGTAAACGATTACAAGTGTATTTTTTGGCGCAGAAGTTTCAAGACTTCATCTAAGTTGTTCATCTCATAAACATTGTTCATTTCCTCAATCATGGGGTGCCCAAACATGACTTTCCAGCCTATACTCACACGCAAACACTAAAATCAAGTGAAAACCAGTTGATTTATGCCAAAAAATTAAAAATTTTGACTATGGTCACCTAGGTTACCACAGCTGACTCCTCCAGTACAAGTTTCTGTACAAATCCTGGATTTTGTTCGTGTAATCGTTTACCAAGCATATGTAAACGATTACAAGTGTATTTTTTGGTGCAGAAGTTTCAAGACTTCATCTAAGTTGTTCATGTCACAAGCATTGTTTCATTCCTCCATCAAATATATCAGTACTAATCAAAGTGGCCACTTTATTCATTAACAATTCAATCAAAACCATATTTCACAATGACAATAACAAAGGAAATTCAATTAACATTAATAATATGTACAATTTTGTATTACTTTCTCTTAACATTGAACAAAATATATTCCAAATTACAAACATTTGTTCATCTATGTACAATTTTGTATTACTTTCTCTTAAGAAATCTATGCAAATATCACTCATATTTTATTCTAAGAAATCGAGTGTAAGGAATCCTAAGCACTCTGCTCTTGTAACGCCTTCGTGACCCTATCCTCACGTAAGTCTTCATTGGAGGTGGATTGGTGGACATGCCTCCCGGGGGAAAAAAATCCAATGTTCATGGATGGTTCTTCACATAAAACACTTTGTCCACCATCTCCGCAATCAGTGACCAGTGCTCCTCTGTCAAATGCTCGTTCAAAGTAGAAATATACTTTGTTAAAAAGGAGTGACTAACCCTCAACTGCATCAACAACAAACAAAATAACCAAAACATAAAAGCCCTAAAACAAAAACAACAAAAAATTTAACAAGGAAAACCCAAAATCCAAACCAAAAACGCAATGTACAAAATGAAGGAAGAATGCATTTACCTTACTCGTAGAAGGACCATGGTTACCAAAACTTGCCATTTTGCACAATACACTCAACAAAGAGGACGACATTGACCAAAACGAAGAGATGTAACAAAAACATAGAAGGAGAAAGACAAGGAAGAGCAACAACCACAAGGAAGAGGGAGACCGAAAACCAAAAGAGAGAGCTAGAACGAAGATGATGAACGAGAAGGAAGAAAGAGAATGGTGATTTCTAATGAAATAGGACAAAGGGTATATTTGGAATTCCAAATTTTCTGAAGCTCTCATCAATTTCGATGTCACAATTTCAGAAATAAAAGTAAAAAAATTGGACCAATGCACTACTGACACCTAGCGCTGTTAAAAATATGTTAAAATTTTGTTGTTGGAATATCACGTTCCTTTATTTATATACTGTGATTTATACTACACTAGTGATAAAGTAGAAAGAAAGAGCATTAGTGAAGACTATCATTTTCATATGTGGGAATTTAGTCTCTTTGGACAACTTTTTTTTTCCATTGAATATTGCAAGAAAGTTTAAATCATTATAATTGTTTTTTTTTGTACAGCTGAGAATCATATCATTCTCCTCCTACCTTTTTCAATCCGAGTAATTAGACTAATGATTTCTCTTCACTCAGATCTTCTCTTCCTCAACGTCTCCAAAGAGGACTTTCATTCTTACTTTAGGTTTTGAGAGTACCTAATAATTTTTCATTTGTTGAGTTTTCACTGTACTACTTCTCACTAAAAGTAAAAAAACAATGAAAAAGTTCATGTATATACAAATCGTGGATGTACCTGTATCACCCATATTTATAAAGAGGAGTAGTATGATATTTTCCTACAACTACAGGTGTATGAAAAAAACTATTCGTGTATAAAGAAGCATAAACCTTACAATATATAATCGAGGTAAAGAGTTCCTTCGCGTCCTTTCAATTTATATAATTATTAACTTTTCATTTCAATTTGAAGGATGAATTCCCTTCGTTCGGTTTCAGCAGCGATTGTCTATACACAATGCGACCCAATTCGCAAACCCCTTTCCTTCTACAAAGCCAAAACCAAACCTCACAATCTCAGTTGCTCCTTTCGCCACCCTTCTAATAAGCTCAGAGTTTCAGCCCTCAAAAGCGACCCCCCCGAGTCGCATCACACTCGTAACTTTGCCGATGACGAAAGAGCAGAGAAACTCCCATTGCGTCAAAAAGATGCAAATTTTGATTCGGGATGGTTGCCTGCTTTTCCCCACGTTCTTGTTGCTTCCATGTCCAATTTTATATTTGGGTATCACATTGGGTCAGTTTTTGCTTCTATTTTTCTCTCATTTTTTTTTGTTTAACTACCGCCTTACTGCAACTTCACCTTTCATTCTGTGCTGGGAGGATTGATAAATACCTAACATCTGTGCTGTGATGAGAATGTAACTGGTGTGATTTCTATCAACAAAATAATTCTTTATTTCCTTACATAGTTCAATTGTTTTTAAACATAGTCATGTGAGATAAAAAAATCTTACGGTGAAGTTACAAGACATGATTTGATGAGCAAAGAGCGGAGTGTGGATTTGAACTAAATAGTTCAGTAGTTATAATCAAAATTCAAAAAAGCTGGTTGAATGTGTTTCATTGAGGTTGTGAAAGTAAAAGCCAGGATGATATTCATTCTTTTATCATTGTGGATTTGAACTTATCATCTTTTATGTGATAAGTTCAGAATAGCATGATTAGTTTTTAAAACTACATGGTGACTGGATTTGAGTTTCTAGCTTCTTGTAAAGTTTGAATCATTTCAAACTTGATTGCATATTTTGCAGAGTCATGAATGGTCCTATTGTTTCCATTGCTCGGGAGCTTGGTTTTGAAGGAAACTCTTTGATCGAGGGACTCGTGGTCAGTATATTTATTGCTGGTGCATTTATAGGGAGCATAAGTTCTGGTTCGTTGGTGGATAGACTTGGTTGTCGGCTCACATTTCAGATTGATAGCATACCCTTAATCCTTGGGGCAATAATAAGGTAGTGTACATGGTTGATGATATCTTTAATAACTTCATTTCTTCTTGTGGATCTTGACATTGTCCTGCTTTTATATAAAGATTTTGAGAATGAATCCTTTTAACTGAGTAACACTCTAGACAACAAAAGCATCTTATAATTTTCAAAACTAATTAATTATTTGCATGGTTTTAAGATGCATAGTTGTTTTTACGTAGATGTCCTGTGCTTCATAAAGTAACGACTGTTGTTTAATAGGATTTAAACTATTTTCCCAAACTATCAAAAGTCCTACTTAGTGCTTGGTAAGGGCCAGTTTTATAGGGATATAATTGCATTTTCATTTTATGTTTCAAAAGCTGTCTCCCTTAGCTTTTGATTACAAGGTTGTTGTCCCCAAAACAAGTTATTTTAAGCATTAACTTACAACATTGTTGTGGCACCTTCTGTTTTGTATATTCGATCAAATTCAAAAATTTTCATGTGCAGAAGTATGTGACTAAACAACATTGCTAGCTTTATAGAAAATTAAAATAAATTTGTTGGCATGTTTGAAAAAGATTTAGAGTTCCAAATCAATCTCTTCTCATTTTTTGTAATTTCCTACTAAATTTTAACCACTTTTGTTAGATTTCTCCTAACAGAGCTGCTATTTCTTGGTTTAATTCATCTCAATGAAAGTGGTAGACTTTAGTTGTTTGACAATCACTATCTTGTTGGTTGTTGGCTTTATGCATTTCTAAAATTTCTCATAATTAAACTTTCTTCAGCTATCTTAAATGGGGAAAGATTGAAATTTACTTAATGCGACACAAGCTTTTTTTTTTTTCCAAATCCAATGTATTGATAAGTTAAATGAGTACACTGCTTCTTTTTATCTATTTTAATTATAGAAACAAGGAGCGTTCCTATCTAATAAAGAATATCTAAATTATATATGAATTATTAGAAACATTTTTATTTATTCCTGTACCTATCTTTATTATTATAGGAAATCAAATCTCCTATATTGATTGTATTGATTCAATTATCTCGTATAAATAAAACATGTGTTGTCTTAGAAGTACAAGGTTTCAGCTCAATGTCTTTCTCTTCCCTACAGTTTAACATGGTAGATTTTTCAAAAGTGTCTTGGCCAGGTAGATCCACTGTCTTTTGAAGGACTTTTTTTCTCTGTTTTTTTGGTGAAGTTTTCTCAGGTTCACATTGTTCTAGTGCTGCCTCTGGCAAGAGGTTTTGGCAGGGTTTGGATCACGCTGCACTAATATATCCAACCATCAAATGCTGACATGAAAAACCCATCCACGTGCCTTCACATGCATCTTCTGTCCCGTTCCAAATGTAACTCTGATCAGTGTGTAGCTGTGCGTGCAACACTTGACAACTGACCAACCTACATTCGGGCCGCCTCCTCCATGCGTTTCTACCCATTTCATGGTGGCTCCATAAGAGTTTGTTTGACAGTCTGATATGCTTTTCTCTCTCGGATTATTTTGTTAATATTATTTTTCTAGATCTAAAAAAACTGTCTTCCAACATTATATTAATATCTTGAACAAAGTAAGGTCACATCACTCAAGATATCAAGCAAACCATGAAATCACATATAAAGGGGTATTATTGCTAATGATCACACATCATGCAACAATCATATTCTTTGAAGTCTATACATGAACCAAAGTACCAAAGCTCATCATTGAAATATACAACGAAATAAAGATTTGAAAAAGATAAAACTGTATGAGAGTATGAGAAATAGAGAAGATTGGGAGAGAATATCCCTTGTGTGTGTTGCATACACATAGGGTAATTTATTTATATTGTAAGATATGGGCCAATGCCCTTAATACATAATAGACTAAGCCCAAATAACAGAAACACACATCTTAACATCTAACAGAGAGAAAAAAGTTTTATTGAATTATTCATTGAAAAAGAACTTAAACCTCCATATATAGAGAACTCTAACCCTAAAGTAATGAGTACAGAGGGATCTTTAGAATCTTCCAACAACATAATTGTAATTATAACAATGCCTTATTGTAATCTATCAAAATATTTTCTACTGAATCAACATATAGTATTCTAATCTTGAGTATGATTTGTTCTTTGCGGGAAGTGTGAAAACTCTGTGCTCTTCATTATGTGAAGTTACCCACCTGGGAGAAATATTACTATATCCTCCCTTTGAGAGTAGTCTTATTTATCATCTATCATTTACTCAAGTTCTTAGTCTCAAGTGGAGATTGAGAAGAGATAACAAGGAGTGGTCTATGTACTCAATTTTAATCAAGTTTTTATTAGTGGAATCCTTTGAGCAGTTTCTTATAGGAGAGCAGGCGTAGCATAAAGTAGTATAATCTGTTGTTTTGCTTCTGTTTATCTGTTAGATGTTTCACTAGCACGTGAAAAGGAGTATCAAACTTTATTCAAGCTCCCTTTTAGAGCTAACTTGTCTTCACATGGAGGCGTATACTTTGTCTGCAAGGAAAAAAAAAATACTACTTTTTCATCATATAGTAATAACTCAAGATGCTTTCGCATAGGTAGTTCTAAAAGTCGTCCAAAATGCGAACATTGCCATTGTATTTGACATATCATTGATGGGTGTTGGAAGCTGCATGGGAAACCCCTTTGTTCACCATATTGCCCAAACATCTACTGTTGGAACAAATGGTGTGCGACATGCCTATCTACTAGTGACACTACTTTGGTGGCACACATTGGTCATTTATTTGTTTGTCTCTCTCAATCCACTTCTCTTGGACCTTGGGTCATTGACTTTGGTGCTGATAAGTGTTTATGTGTGCATTAAGTTGAAATCCTCTAAGAACTTCATAAGTGTTTACGTGTGCATTAACTTGAAATCCTCTAAGAACTTAATAAGTGTTTATGTGTGCTGATTAGTTTGAGGAATTAAAAAAGACAAAGAAACTCAAAGATTCTCACCACTAAACATGAATTTTATCCATGAGATTATGAAGAACAAAAAAACTTGAAGACAAGAAAGTAAAAGATATTGGCAGAAATAGAAATGAGAAAACAGAAAGAAAAGATGAGAAGACTTAGGAGATGGAAAACGGTGCACAGCTTGAAGAAGAGGAAGATGACTCCATGCTTCTCCAACATAAGCTCCAAGTGAATAATCACCACTTGACTTCTCAGAATCAAGATAAGATCCAACAGAACTTCCTTTACACTCAACGTGATGAGAATTCTCTCTCAAAATTCAATGTCAAAAGTATTTTATAGGAGAGGAAGCATGGCTAATTATAGGAAAAGACATCTTCTATTGCAAATGTGAATGTAAGAAATTAAATGCAAATCTTAGTCTAATGATCCTTGGATGAAATGGAAGGAGGGAAATTTGAATTTTAAAAATTCAAACTCCTTTGGTTTAATATATCTCTCCATCACCATTAGTATGTGCATCAATGGTGTTCCTATGTTGATGATTCATACACAACTAAGAAATCCTGTTTTGCAAAATTGAAGAATATAGTACTACATTTAAAACATTTGTGTAGTTTAAAGTGAGTTAGGAAAACATATTCGTTAGTGTTTCCTAATACGCTTAATAAACAAGCTTTGACTCTTTGGTTCACTTTGATATTTGGGATCCTCCCTCCATTATTATTCTTTGTTTCAAATATTTGTTACCGTTATTGATGATTATATTATATTACCTTAATGTAACTTGTTTTGAAATCACCTTTGTAGTAAGTGTAGTAAGTTAAGTTTTAAACATCCCTTGTCAAGACCATTTGGATATAGTTGTATGAATCTTAAAGTATACTATTAAGAATGCTCTTGGCAAAGACATTATTTAGGAGGATAAGACTTGAAAAAGAGAATGACTTCATTATTTTGATTCATATCAATTACATTCTCCTTACCTCTGTGTGTAGCAATCCAATCTTCTAAAAAAGGGAAATAAGGAAACAATATACTGAAAAATAATCTAGAAGATCCTACAAATATTTTCTCTGATTAGGAAAATTCTATAGATATTTTCTCTAATTAAGAAAATTCTATTGATATTTTCTCTAATTACAACACTCCCCCTCAAGTTGGTACATGAACATCAATCATTCTCAACTTTTCTACAAGATCTTGAATCTACCTAGAGGGGACCCTTTCATAAAAATAGCTGCTATCTGAAGTTCTGTAGGAACATGAGTTGTAATTACAAAGCTTCTATCTAGATTATCTTTGATGAAATGTCTGTCAATCTCAACGTGTTTGGTCCTGTCATGTTGTACTGGATTATGGGCAATGTTCATGGCAGACTTGTTGTACAATGTAGTTGCACAGGGTTTTCCACCTTGACTTTGAGGTCATCCAAAATGATTTTCATCTAGAGTTTTTCACAGATTCCTTGAGCAAGAGCTCGGAATTCAGCTTCTGCACTAGAACGAGATACTCTATCTTGCTTTTTGGTCCTTTACGTTACTAGACTATCTCCAAGAAACACACAATACCCAGAAGTAGATTTTGTGTTAGTAATAGAACCTGCATTGTCAACATCAGTATATATTTTCATAGTCAATGTATCTTCCCTTTTGAATAATAGCCCATTTCCTGGACTTGACTTCAAGTATTGGTGAATTTTGTCAACTGCATAAATTGGATCATGTATAAATTGGCTCACTACACTAACTGCATAAGCAATGTTTAGTCTTGTGTGAGATAGATAAATCAATTTTCCTACGAATCTTTTTTTCCTAAAACTCTAAAACACACCTATATATACAAGCTTCCCAACAACATAACTACTTACAAATTTTACAGATGTTTTAATTAAAACAATTAGCTCTATTTTCCTTTTCCTTTGTTTTTTCTTTAATAGACCTTCATAATATGAGGTTGTCCTAACAATACCCGACCCATGAAGATTGACCTTGTTCTCAAGGTAGAATTATGGGAAAAGTTCAGCAATTACAAAAAGTTCCTCCATTTTTGTGCTCGTTTTCTTCCTCATGCCCTTCTATTAACATCAGTTAGTTGAGTTGTTTGTTCTTGCAAAGAAGATTCTGCTATATTTTTAATCACAGAGAAAACATCCTCTTTTTTTGATCTTTTCTTGAAGCTCTGATTGTGTCAACCTTTTAAAGTTGCCTTTGTTGTGGCCATCACTGGTAGCCTTTACCTCATTACTGCCCTAGCTGGACCAGATTGAGAAAAAGAATTTGCTTCTGCTACTATATTGGTTGTGCTGAATTAGCCTCTGCCATTGATCTTGGAGGTTCTTGTTAAGAAGTGGACTTTAAGCCTAACTCAACCCCACAAAACCGGCTTGTATGGTGAGGTTTGCACCCCACTTATATATTATAATTTGGTCTTATCTTTAGTCGATGTGGGACTTCCAACACACCCCTTTTACGCCGAGGTATAGACATCTCGAGCGTGATAGTAGAATTAATGGGTGGTCCGATAGTGTCCCGACAACGGGTGGAACAGAAGAAACAGAATGCCCACACAGATCTCCCTAGGATAGGCTCTAAACATGGCTCTGATACCATGTTAAGAAGTGGACTTTAAGCCTAACTTAACCCCACAGAACTGACTTGTAAAGTGAGGTTTGCACCCACTTATATACTTTAAATTGACCTTATCTCTAGTCGATGTGGGACTTCCAACACACCCCCTTCACGCCGAGGTATAGACATCTCGAGCGTGAGAGTAGAATTAATGGGTGGTTCAATAGTAGCCCGACAACGGGTGGCATAGAATGCCCACATAGATCTCGCTAGGAAAGGCTCCAACCTGGCTCTGATACCATGTTAAAAAGTGGATTTTAAGCCTAACTCAACCCCACAAAACCGGCATGTATGGTGAGGTTTGCACCCCACTTATATATTATAATTTGACCTTATCTTTAGTCGATGTGGGACTTCCAACACACCCCTTTTACGCCGAGGTATAGACATCTCGAGCGTGATAGTAGAATTAATGGGTGGTCCGATAGTGTCCCGACAACGGGTGGAACAGAAGAAACAGAATGCCCACACAGATCTCCCTAGGATAGGCTCTAAACATGGCTCTGATACCATGTTAAGAAGTGGACTTTAAGCCTAACTTAACCCCACAGAACTGACTTGTAAAGTGAGGTTTGCACCCACTTATATACTTTAAATTGACCTTATCTCTAGTCGATGTGGGACTTCCAACACACCCCCCTCACGCTGAGGTATATACATCTTGAATGTGAGACTAGACATTAATGGGTGGTCCGATAACGGCCCGATAGTGGGTAGAACAATATGTCTAACAAACAACAAATATCACTTGGATAAGCTCTTAACCATAGCTCTGATACCATTTTAAGAAGTGGACTTCAAGCCCAACTCAACCACACAAAACCGGCTTGTATGGTGAGGTTTGCACCCTACTTATATATTATAATTTGGCCTTATCTCTAGTCGATGTGGGACTTCCAACACATCCCCTTCACGCCGAGGTATAGACATCTCGAGCGTGAGAGTAGAATTAATGGGTGGTCCGATAGTAGCCCGAGAACGGGTGGAATAGAATACCCACGTAGATCTCGCTAGGAAAGGCTCACACCTGACTCTGATACCATGTTAAGAAGTGGATTTTAAGCCTAACTCAACCCCACAAAACCGACTTGTATGGTGAGGGTTGCACCCCACTTATATATTATAATTTGGCCTTGTCTCTAGTCGATGTGGGACTTCCAACGGTTTTGTTATCCATTCCTTTGTTCCTCTTTGAATAAGA